ACTTAGCTCAGCGGCAAAAGCACCTGCCTGGCAAGTGCAAGGTCGTGAGTTCGGTTCCCGGTACCGGAGAAAAACCAAAAAAAAAAAAAAAAAAACGAAAAAACAAGAATTGGTCTTTTCCCCCGGGTCAGCTATGACTGACATCTATTCTCGATCTGTTTCAGCAGTCAAGTTCTTCCGTTCCCTGTCAGCGCACAACATCCTCTGCCATCTACATGAACCTTGCCTCCCATATCCAGCCAGGAACCGTGAACAGAGTGTCCTCACCACTCCCTAGCCCCAGCGCCATGACTGATGCTGCCAACTCACAAGCTGCAGCCAAATTGGCTCTTCGCAAGCAGCTAGAAAAGACGCTCCTGGAGATCCCACCTCCAAAGCCTCCCGCTCCCTTGCTTCACTTTCTGCCCAGTGCAGCTAATAGCGAGTTCATCTACATGGTAGGCTTGGAAGAGGTCGTGCAGAGTGTCATTGACAGCCAAGGTAAGATCAGTTTTGGGAATTTTGTTTTGTTTTTTGAGGGTAGGGTCTTGCTACGTAGTTCAGCCTGTCTCTGAACTGACTGTGTAGTCCAGACTGGCCTCAAACTTGCAACAATCCTCCCACCTCAGCCTCCTAAGAGTGGGGATTATAGGCATGCCACTGCCAGGCCTGGTTTGATAACAGTAGTTCTTGTACTAGAGGTTGCTAAGGTGTGATTGATACGGGCAGAGTATCACAGAGTACAATATGGCATTAAATAACCTCTCAGTATTGCTAGTGCTTATTTCTAGGCAGTTTGGGAACCAATATACCAGAGTTTTGTAACCAGGCATGGCATTATGTATCTATAATTCCAGCTACTTGGGAGTCTGAGTCAGGAGAATTATAATTTTGAGGCCAATCTAGCAAAACGCTATCTCAAAAAAATAAAATAGGTTGGGGATGTAGTTTAGTGTTCCATGGATTCAGCCCCCACTACTGGGTTTGGGGTGGGGAAAGAAGAATGGTGTGTGTGTGTGTGTGTGTGTGTGTGTGTGTATTTTGTATATTTTGTGTATTTTTTTTTAATGTATTGTTCTTTTAAATAGTGCCTGTGTGAACTGGGGATGTAGGTCAGTGGGGAAAACAAAACAAAACAAAAAACAATGTTCCTAGCATGCTCAAGGCCCTGGGTTCAATTCCCAGCACCAAATTAAAGCCCAAAAAAGGTTTCTAGGCTGTTGCAGGTATAATTTGATGAATAAAAGTTGTTTATGTGTTATTTTTTATTTTGTTTTGAGACAGGTATGTCCCTATGTAGTTCAGGTTGGCCTTGAACTCATAAAGATCCTACTGCCTTAGCCTCCCAAGTGGTGGGATTACTAGCTGTGTTGAATTACTATATTCAGTTCCTGCCCTTTGATTATAGTTGAGAAAATACAGATGCTGATACTTACAGATAACTAAAAATGATCACATTTTATAACTGTAAAGCGATACTGAACCAGACTATTAATATCATACAGTCTAAAGGAAGATACTAGGCTTAAATTTCCAAACATACTGACATATGTTCCATAGGAACACCTTACAGTAGAGGGAAGTACTTAGAGGACTCTGTTGATGATAAAAGATCACAGAGTGACAGATTGGTAACCAGAAATTGTATATAAGAGGAATGAGGAGTTGGGCATGGTGGCACAAAGCCATAATTCAAGTAATCGGAAGGCTGAAGCAGGAGGATCACTGGGAGTTCAAGACAAGTCTGAACTGCATAGTAAGACCCTGTCTCCAAAAAAAAAAAAAAAAAATATATGATATGAGGTGAGCAGATGCTAAGAAGTAAAAGTACTGGTTGAGTTAAATGGAGTCCTTTGATTCTGAGTTGACCCAGTATTTTCTCATTGTGGTATAGTAGGAAATCAGAAAACATGGATTCTTGTTTTAGTTTTGTCAGTTAAAGGAGCTTTATAGTTTCCTTGATGTAAATAATAGTGATATTGTTACAATCAAGTGAAATAAAAGTATTTTTTAAATGATAGAGTTTTAAATAATAGAGGGGGTTTTTTTTATGGTAGTCTCTTGGTTTTTTTTGTTTTGTTTTTCTTCTGGTACCAGCGATTGAACTTACGACCTTGTGCTTGCCAGGCAGGCGCTTTGCCACTGAGCTAAATCCCCAGCCCCTTTATGGTAGTCTCTTAATTCAGCAGGGCACACTCCTGGAAAAGATCTTTTTAATGAAGAGAAACAGAAGAGATAGGAAATGTGAAGCCCTGATAATTTTTTCTATTGGCAAGTAGGCAAAAGCTGCGCCTCACTCCTGCGGGTCGAACCCTTTGTATGTGCCCAGTGCCGCACAGATTTCACCCCTCACTGGAAGCAAGAAAAGAATGGTAAGATTCTATGTGAACAGTGTATGACCTCCAACCAGAAAAAGGCTCTGAAAGCTGAACACACCAACCGGCTGAAAAACGCTTTTGTTAAAGCCCTACAGCAGGAACAGGTAAGAATTGTGACTTCTACTTCCCAGTCACTCTGTGGGTTTGGTTTTACCAAAGGATTGTTGCTTCTAGATCCAAGAGCTACCTATCATGTGGTTTCCATAGACTTTTGCACCTAGGTTATTTTTCTTCCTCCTTTATTATCCTGTTTCCCATTTCCATTGGATTATTTCTGATTGAATAAAAACAGTAGTGCCTGGCAACATGGCACACCCCTATAATACCAGCACTCAGGAAGCTTAGGACCACCATGAGTTCCTGAGTTCTGAGTTCTGAGTTCATCCTGAACTGCTGTCTAAAAACAAAATAAAAATGGTATCCCAGCATTTGGGAGGCTGAGGCAGGAGGATTGTTGCGAGTTCAAGACCAGCCTGGGCTACAAAGTGAGCTCACAGCTGGCCTGAACTGCACAGCGAGACCCTGTCTCAAAAAAAAAAAAAAAAAAAAAAAAAAAAAAAAACAACAGTAGCACATATGGCTGACTTAAGAGAAAAGGATAGTAGCTTAAACTCTTGGGTTTTTACTAGGTGTGGTGCCCCACATCTGTAATCCCAGCACTCGGGAGGCTGAGGCAGGAGGTTTGCCATGAATTTGAGGCCAACCTGAGTTACATAGTAACTTCAAGTCCACCCTGCACTGTAAAGCAAGACCCTGTCTCAAAAAACAAAAGACTTGGTTTTTCCATACCTCTGAAAGAATTCCTCTCTTCTCAACTTTATTTTCTCCTCAAGTGGATTTTGGTGGGAGGAATTAGTATTCGTATAAGAAATCTTTGAAAGAAGTAATTATGTGTAGTCCATACTTAACAAAGAAACAACAAAAGAAGGAGTTGTGTAAAGTAGCTCAGTAATGCCATGAGTTCGAGGCCAACTTGGGCTACAAAGTGAGCTGAAGGCCAGCCTGAACTGCATAGTGAGACCCTGTCTCAAAAAGACAAAAATAAATAAATAATAAAGTAGCTCAGTGAGGTATAGTGTGCTACAGTGTGTGAATGTCTTCTCTAAGTAGTTACAAAATGAGAATATCTTGAACAGGGGGAAATCTTTCGGGAAATTTAGATCTTTTTCTCTATCCTTGTTTCCCACTCCATCACTTTTCAGAGTCCTTTTTGGGTAGTTTTACAGACCTTCTAGAAAATAGGCAAGCATTAAAAATAGAACCTCTCCAAGTACAGAGACACACATCTATATTGCAGTTACAAGAGGCTGAGACAAGAAGATTGAAAGTCTGAGCCCAGCATGGGCAACTTAGTAAGACTCTGTCTCAAAAAGGACTGGACTAGGCTACATAATGAGTTCAAGGCCAGCCTGGAATACATAGCAAGACTCTGTCTCCAAAAAAAAAAAAGTGCTGACCAGGCATGGTGGCAGATGCCTGTAATCCCAACACATGGGAGGCTCAGGCAAGAGGATTGCCATGAGTTCAAGGCCAGTCTGAACTATAGCAAGACCCCAGCCCCCACACCACCACCAAAAAAAGACCCTGTCCTCTGTGCAGCCCCCACACCACCACCAAAAAAAACCATGCTTGGAATGTAGCTCAGTGCTCCCTAGGTTCAATCCCTCGTACTACAAAAAACTAAGTAAATAAAACCTCAACACGATTCATCAGTCTTAATTACATTAGTCAGCACATTGTCACCACCCAGCTTCCTCTGGCCATTTTCTAAGAGTCAGCTCTCTCTGGCTAGCTGGCTAGCAGTATTAGAGATAAGACCTCTAGGTTTTCTGGTTAAGAAATTGATTGCTGTCCTGCCCAGCCTGATCTGATGACTCTCAACAGGAAATTGAACAGCGATTACAGCAACAGGCAGCGCTTTCTCCTACTACGGCTCCAGCTGTATCCAGTGTCAGTAAACAAGAGACCATCATGAGACATCATACACTTCGGCAGGTAAGGAACTTCCCCCAACCCTAATTTCTCTTGGTTTGTCAACCATGTATCCCAGTTTTTCCTTTCTCCTGTGAGACTGTACTTCTCTTCTGTACGCCTATATCTCTACCTCCCACTTAACCATCCGTCTTTTTTTTAATCTGCCTTTTTTTTTTTAATCTTTTTGAGAGGGTCTCACTATGCAGTTCAGGCTGGCCCTTAGCCCAGGCTGATCTCGAACTGGCAACAATCCTCCTACCTTTGCCTCCCGAGTGCTGGGATTGTAGGTGTGTGCCACCACACCTGGCTTACCTTACATCTTGACAAGGTTTTATCATCTGTCTTCTCATTTTGCAGGCTCCACAGCCCCAGAGCAGCCTCCAGCGTGGCATACCCACCTCTGCTCGCTCCATGCTTTCAAACTTTGCACAGGCGCCCCAGCTGTCTGTGCCAGGCGGCCTCCTTGGTATGCCAGGTAAGAGAGGTTGGTCTGCAAACTTCTCACAGAGGTCATCTGGTTAGTGCACAGTTCTTTAGCAGCCCTTTTAAAAGGTTTATTGTTCCTTCCTTTGCTTTCTGTTTGTTATTCAGGGTGTACAGTATTTCCTTGCTCTTTCACTAGATGTTTGCTTGTTGTTGGTTTTTTGTGTTTGTTTTTTGTTTTTTAAGTTTGAGACAGGGTCTTGGCTGTATAGTTCAGGCTGGCCTTGAACTTGGAATCTTCCTGCCTCAGCCTTCTGCGTGCTGGGATAACAGCTGTGTGTCACCATGCCTGGCAGCAAATGTTTGCTAAGTTCGTATTTCATACTAGCTACAGTGCCCTACAATTTTAGTGGTGAAAGCACAGCCCTGCGATTACAAATGTAGTGATGAACGTGCCTTCAGTGGGCATGTGGATATTGCTCAGGCCCACCCTGTTCTGACTTACACAGCAGGCTCGTCTGTCCTGTGTGAATCATCCAGGGGTGCTTCTCCACAGTCTGTGGCCCCCAGATCAGAACAGATTTGATGATCATATCCTTTCATCTTTACCATCTTTTTTCCTCACTGTACGGTATTCTCTTTACTACATTTCTTCCACTGTGTTCGTTATTTCTGGTAGGATTGAAATTTCAGGAAGACCTCTTTCCCTAAAGCTTGGAAGTAGAAGGGTACTAACTGCTGAAACAGCGCTAGCTAAGTCTTCACAGGTGCATGTAGCGTCTCCTGTTTCCACTCTGTCTACTATGCAGCCCCAGGGTAGTGCAAAAGATGATGCTGTTTCCTCTTTTAATACCTTCCCTCCACTTTTGTCTCCTTGGTCTAGGTGTCAACATTGCATACTTGAACACTGGCATCGGGGGACACAAAGCCCCGAGTTTGGCAGACCGACAGCGCGAATACCTTTTAGACATGATCCCTCCTCGGTCTATATCGCAGTCCATCAGTGGACAGAAATAACGCCTGGTCCACTTGCACTGCCCCCACCTTGAATCCTTTACCCCTTTTCTCTCCCATTGCCCCAACTTCTGTCGCATGCAGTGCCTGTACTGGTGCCTACCATACACGGAAAGCAAAACTGAAAAACAGAAGACAAAAAATAGAAATCAACGAGAAAACACAACGCCCTGCCCCGACCCTTTATTTCACACTGCTGCGATCTGTTCTCCTGCCGTTTTATCTTCTCTCTTCGGTTTTCTTTAACAGTGAAGTGGATCTTTGCCTCGGACAGAGGTGAGGATGAGGTCCTGGGAGAATCTAAACCCTTTGACATGTGTTTCTAAAGTTTGTTTTATGCTATAATTATTATCCTTTTTAATTATATTGTATGTCCTCCCTTTGTTCAGTGGACGGTTAAGTCTTTTTTTCCCCCAATCTTTTTCTTCTTCTCTTCTTCCTTTTTTTTTTTAAACGTAAATGATATTCAGTTCAATGATAGGAGCATTGCAGGTTGCAGTAGGGACTCAGCTGCGAAGCAGGACATGACCGGGAATGTCAGGGGCAGAGGTTTGGAATGTACTTGAGCTGAGCTATTGGGTGGATGGCATCAAACGAGGAGGAGCAGCACCTCAGCTGTGGGTGTTTTGGGGCTGGACATTTGAGAAGCCGTGTTCTAGTATTAAAATCGGGCTCTAAGAGTGAGAGGAAAGAGCCTGGAGGAAGAAGCTTTAAACAACCACCCTGGAATTCACCTGTGGAAGAGGGGCAGGAAGAGGTGTGATGGGAGCGTAATGGTGAGCCGAGGAGGACTGAGGCTGGCCCCTGGCCTTCCGGATGCAGAGGAGTGAGACTGGTCTCCCGACCCCATCGGATCCACTCCAGGCCCACTAGCCCAAACTGTTTCATCTTGTTTTCTTGACAGAATTGCGCCCCACCCGCCTCTCACTCTCTTTAAAAATCCCCATGTTCCCCCGCTTTAACCACAGCCCCATCTATGACACAGCTGTTCCAGGCTGGGGTTTGCTGGGGTTCTAGAAGCTGGAATGGGCATGAGTGAGTCCAGTGACCAAAGGAGGAAGTAGGGAAAGAAGTTCTTTCAGCAGCTGCGGTTGTCACGTCTGTCCTTTCTCCCTCTGGAGAGGCTAAGAGTGAGGCCCAGAGAATTGGGGTGCAGTCTCGCTCTCACTGGGGCACTGACTGCAGAACCAGCTACCCAAGGCCAAACACCTCGTGTCACAGCCAGCCATGGACCTCAGCTACACAAATGTCTTTCCCCACCCCCAGAATTCTGTTAATTTTGATTCTTGTTTTCCTTTGTTTTTATTTTATTCTTAAGTGCTACTAATGTAGAGAATGAATTGTGCAATGTTGCTGTTCTGGGGATTAGGGAGATTAGCGTCCCATTTGCCCACGCTGTGGGGGAGGAGGGAGGGAACTAGGCTGTTGCTGAGGTAAGGGAAGCCCCCTAAAGGGAAGGGTTTCTGCTCTCAAGAATGTGGAGAGCACCTGCCTGCCTCTCGAGCTCTACAAGCTGTCGGAGTGCACTGGGTCACTCGTAGCAGAGGTATGAAGAATTGTTTAATAGGTTGCCCTTGAAAGCCACCTGAGGAAGTTCCCTCGTTTTTATTTTTTAAAAATTAAATAATTTTTTTAAAGTAAAAAGGCACTTTTAAAATTAACACACACAAACTGCACATCTTCCTCATAAATTTTGGGGTAGGGTGGGAGAAGGAGCTGAAACTAGGCTTGGTTCCCCCACTCTGGCCTCTACTCCCCACACCCCAGTCCCACTGTGGGTGATTATACTGGCCCTACGGGTCTGGCTTTTTTCTTTCCTCCCTTCCCCTAACTTCATTGAGCACTTAATAAAGGAGCAGAGATGCAACCAGTGTCTGGGCTCCCCAAGTGGTGAAATGATCTGGAAGCTAGACGCTAGTGACAGGTAGTGATCGGGTCGTTTCAAGTATTTTTGGGGAATGTGGTACCCCGACTGTAAGCGGGAGAGGGAGGGGGGTAATGGAACTGGGTCTGGGGTTATTTTAAAATTATATATATATATATATAAAGATATATTCTTACATCTTTTCTTTGCCCTCTGTGCTTTGAAAGCACTGGATGGATTTTTGGTTTTGCTTTTCTCTCTTCCACAAAATTGGAAGCTTTTTTTAAATGTTTTTCCTACGAGTCATCTTGCCTTGTGGCATGTCTGTCTAGCCTCCCCTCCCCATTATAAAGTGCCATTCTGTTAAGTCTCCCCGACCCCCAGCTCAGAGGTGCTCAGAGGTACGAGGTGCCCAGGTTTGTCAGTTGAGATTACAAATTAGGAACAGAGAATGTGCAATACCGTCTAGCTGGGGGCTGTCCCTGCCCTGAGCTGAGGCCCTTCCCTGGGAGCCAGGCAACCTTGGATGGGACTTGGAGATAAAGCCGCCGAGAGGGGCCGTGATGGGCACGAGGGAGAGGGCCCGTCTTCCCTGTTCTTCCCTCCTCAGGGTCGTTTACGTAGAAGCTGCTTACTGACTGGAATAGCTCTGTGACCCTTTGCTCAATCACTGAGGCTGAATTTCTTCCTCTCCTATCCCCATCTTCATTCCCGACCCAGGGATTAGTGCTGGGGTGAGGGCTCCTTAATCATGGTGAAGTGTTAGCCTGCACCTCCTCCTGTCCCTCCCTCTCCCAGCCCCTCCGCCGTCCTCCAGTCTCCGGTGTTCATCACTGCCCGCCTTTCGTCCCTCCAGGTCTGCTGTCCCTCTCCTCTCTAGGCCTTGAGCCCTGCAGACACTAACCCTCGTGTCCTGTGGGTAGGAAGGAAGACCCTGTTTGAGAGCTGTCCTTGGTCCCAGCACTCTGATTCTTGGGATGCTGCGAGAGTGAGGGTCCTGCCAGTTCTGCCTGGCTTCCTCCTGACCCTGAGGCACTAGCGTAGTTACTCACGGGTGGCGTCCTACTCCCTAGAAGCCTGAAGTGGGTGGATTGGTGGTAAGGTTTGGGTAAAACTGGGGGACAGAGGTCCTTACTTGTCAGTTTTGTCACTTAACCACAGCATCTGGACTCCATTGCTGGAATAAGTATTTTTCCCACATTTTTCCCCCTTTGGATATATGTATGGTAGACTTTTTTTTTTTTTTTTTTTTTTTAAGACAGATAAATGTTTTCCTGCTTTGGTTACTTTCCTTCCCCTTTAAAAGGAATTAGCTGTAGAGCTGCTTTGTAAAGATGCTTCTTGGTATTTTCCTTTGTTCCTTTTGACCACCATTGCCCTGTCTCCCCGCTCCTCCAGAAGGCATAACCTCCTCACGCCCGCCCGCGCCAGCCCTAGGCTCCCTTCCTTCCACCAAGATCTTCATTAGCTTATGATACTTGCTGCCGAGATGTTATAACAAGGACTCATTCGTGTATATAAGCTATTTCTTGATCCACTTAAAAGGAATTGTACATTGTGTAGAAAAAAAAAAAAAAAAAAACTGAAAAAGAGAAAAAAAAGCCCTAGCCATGGATATTGTGAAACTGTGTTATGTCATTTTGTAATGTGCCCGTTTGTGTATGATCCGTGCAAAAGGGTTTCTGGGGAAGGGGCGGGGGTAGGGAGGCAGGGCTGTGGAGGGCGGGGAGGGAGTGGGCCGGGCCCAGCACACTGAGACTGGCAGCTGCTCCAACCCCGTCCCTCCTTAGAGACGCCACCTCCCCCACCGCCCACCCCTGATTTGTGCCTTGCCTCCCCACCCTGGAGGGGTCCCTCCAGGTCACCAGCACTGCCTTGGCAGAGCCCGCTCCCTACCCTGACCTGCCCCCCTCCCTGCCCCCCAGCATTAGATGGATACTGTGGGGAAGTGCTGGGGGTTGGGAGGTAGCCGAGGAATGGGGCAGTTCCCGGGGGCATCGAAACCAAGTATTATTATGAATTGTAATTGTATTTGCACTGTTTTTTCCCCTCTGATTGCATCAGCATATATACAATATACCTATATAACAAAATTCAGTGTCAAGCTTTCTTATGCAAGGGATTTTCCCCACCCTCCAAAAGAACAAACCTAGTCTGTGGGCCTTTGAGGGTGTATTGTCAGGGGATGGTAGAAAGGAGGTTACTAAGTCATCCTATGGTCTTGTCCAAAGGGAGCCTCAGCCATCTGCACCGTTAGAGGCTGCACAAATTTAGGTGAGGCTGGGCTCCTGGCCCAGGACTGAAAAATAAAGACCCACCAGTACAGAGGGGCATAGTTTGGAGGCAAGAGGTCTCCAGGTATACTAGTGTTCACTTCATCTTTGGTACAGTTTATTTTCTGGGTCGAAGTTTTTTTCTAATCTATAAAGAGAGGTGAGTGAGACTGAAGTCATCTGGCCATTTAGTTTAAAATTCTTGCTTCCCCACCTTTTGAAAACAAAATACAACTTGAAGTGGAGTGCAGAGTTGAAAAATCTGGGAGGAAATGAGAGGAACTAGTGTAAAATGGATATATGCGTGACAGTGCCCTACTTCAGCCTGGACTTGGGGCGGGGGTGAGTAGTGTTTGGGAAGTCAGGCCAGCCGCATCTTTATCCACAGGTTTCTAGCCATCTGAGGTCCATGACCAGGCATCAAGCCCCACCTCACCACCAGTCACAAAGCCTTTAAGTGTGGTCGACCCATGAAATGCCCCAGTTGGTGGTCTAGTTAGCTATTTCCTTTGTGAGCTACAGAACTTCCCGTCGTCTTGGTGACAAAATAGGAGAGCTCAGATATAGCCCACGTCTCTCCTTCCCCCAGATCCCATCTGAACCCCCAAGACAGCTGTTTCACAGTCTGTCTCCTTCAGGGGCCCAGTTTCCCCACCGCCGGGGCCGAGCACTCCCACTCTTGAGGCTCTTGGCTGGTGAAGCCTGGGGAGGGTGCAGGATGGGGGGCAAGCCCTGGCTGCAGGGGGAAGGATAGGGGGCGGGGTGGGGAGCAGGGAGGTGGGGTGGGAGCGGCCTTCCCTGAACAGGGTGGGGGGGTGGGGAACAAGACCCTTTTGCACAACTCTAAGTTTCCTTTTTCTTTGCTTTTTTTCTTTTTTAACTCATTCTAATTTTCTGCATTGTGTTTGGGAAATAAAATGAAAAAACTAAGACCAATAGAAACTGGTTTTCAAAAAGGCAAATACACTCCCATCTGTTTCAGATGCTGCTGAGCATTTCAGCAGCGAGATTCTAATAATAAGCTAATTTTTGGAGAAAGGATTAAAAGAAAAAAAACTTTGTAATATTTATCACTTGCAAGCTATGTTTAATAAAGAAAGGAATGGTTTCTAAACTCGCGTGCCTCGTGCTTTAGTTGTGGCATTGCTGGGGGGGGGGGGGGGGTTTCGGTGGGAAAAGCCGGGCGGTAGCTGGGAGCCGTCCGCGGTCCCTGAGGTGGTGCCCTGATGGGCTGCTGCTGGCTTGGCCCTTTGATGGTGGCGGTGATCGCCGTGTAAATCCTTCCTTCCTTTTGTGTCCTTACGCTCCTCCGCTTCCAGCGTTGAGAAAGCCCTGGCTCCACTTTCAATTCTCAAGGTCTGAAGGCCCAAAGCGGGGGTGGGGGCGGGGCGGGGCATTCATTCTCCTTGGGAGAGGGCCCCTTTGCCCTTCGCATTGTGCTCGTGCAGCGCTAGTCTCTAGGAGGAGTCCTTTTTCCAGACGGGGCCCTAAGAGGGAAGGGGCCCAGGCCACCCCCAGAGCATTAAGCGGACCCTAGTTACTGTCCTTTTCCATTTTGGTTTTTCAGTTTCCAGCAAAGCACTTAGTCCAGGTCCAACCGGGACAGATGCCATTTCCTCAAGGGGCTCCCCTTAGCTGTGGAGGAGCAGCGCCCAGCCTTGGGTTACCATTGGTCCCAGCAGCGCGCCGTGGAGCACAGAGGGCAGCACTGGCCCCTCTGCCCTGGGCTTTCTTGCCCCTTTCTTGGCGCACGGTGAGAGGCTGGCCAAAGGAGGCTGGGGACGTGAATGAGGGGCCTGGCTGCCACAGGCCAGCAGAGGGAAGAGTGGGAAAGCCATGCTCTTTGGGCCCCTGAGATTGGGAGAGACGGGGTGCTTTGCTGCCCCTGCACTTGTTCTACAAGGTTCAAGGCCACCAAAACCCTGAAGGAAGCTGGCCTCTTAAAAATGCAAATCCAGCCGGGTGTGGTGGCGCACGCCTGTAATCCCAGCACTCTGGAGGCTGACCCAGGAGGATCACCGAGAGTTTGAGGCCAACCTGGGCTACAAAGTGAGCTCAAGGCCAGCCTGAACTGCGTAGTAAAAGCCTGCCTGAAAAAGACAAAAAAAAAAAGAGGGTCCCTGAAAGGGGAGCCAGTGCTTTGGACTTGGGAAGAGGGAGATGAGCATTTGGTTGAGAAGGCTGAGCTCACGTGTTCTGGACTCTTAGGTGATGGGAGGCGGGAGGGGAGGGGAGGGGAGGGAAGTAACGGCTCGCCTTTCCCGTCCACGTCCAGTCAGGCCAGAAGGAACGTGGGCTGGTCCTGTGCAGGTCCTGGTCAGACTCAGCTGGGGCATAAGGGCATAGGTCATAGCTGTGAGAAGAGCCTCCCGCTGTGGGAGGGAGGGCCCTTAAAGCTATAAATCTTTGGTGGGTTACATTTGATCAAGTGGGCTTAGGAGACAGGGTACCTAGGTGGGGGCTCCCAGCTGAGCTTGGGTTAGTTTGAGGTCATTCGGTGTTTTTAGGGGGCGCAGGTCCTCCCATTTCTTGATGGAGGAGGAGGAGCAGAGAAATCCCACCTTCCACAGTGGCCAGTCCTGCCCCTTCCCCGAGAGGGGCTGGGGGCCCTTTCCTGACTCTGGGGTGACAGGTGAAGTAAATTCTCCAGTAGTCCAAAGGTAGCGGCATCTGGAGGGAGCCCCTTGGAGGTGCTGGGCCAGTGGCTGCTGCCCCCAGGGCCCCTGGAGGAATAGTCAGGCCTCCTCCCAGTCTCTCAAACACAGCTTCCCCACCCTCCCCACCGCTGAACCCCGCACCTGGGCAGAGGGCTCCATCTTCTCCTTCTCCACTCTGGGCGTGGTCCCCAGCTTCGGCTTGGCTGGCTGAGACAATGCCCTGCGTTCCCTCTCGGGACCCCGCCTGCAAAGCTGGCTGCCTGGACAGACAGCCTCCGCACCACTGCTGCCCATCACCCTGCTCCACACTCGGCGGGCGTGGAAGGGGTGGCCCTTCCTCCCGCTGCCCTGTGTCGGGAGAGCGGGCTCTGTCCATTCCCGCCACCCCGTCCTCTGCCTTGGGAGCCTCGGTCCTCTCTGCCCTCTTCCCACCTCCGGAACCACGAAGCTCTGAAGAGAGCTGCATCTGCTGCTTGTCCAGGCTCCTTGTATGCAACACCGAGGGGAATGGAGGAGCGCTCTGGCCTGTTCTCTTGGTCCTGATCCTGGGGCTCCGTGAAGCACATTACTGCGCAGCAGTTTTCCACATTAACCCGTACCTACGTCTGCAGCCAAGGAAGAGGCAGAGGAGGCGAAGGATGAGGGAGCCAGGCCCACGCGGATGCCCACGAGCCCAGGCAGCGAGCTGCGCTCCCCCTGGCCACGAGCACCCAGCCCAAGGCTCCGCAGACATGGAGCCCTCTGCCAGAAGACCACGTCCAGCCCCGCGTCTTCCCTGGAGGCTGGCAGCCATGGCACCTGTCAGAGGGGCCTGCTTTGCCGTCCTAGTGGACCCACTCACCAGCGGTGGCCGGGGGGCACACCATGCAGAGAGACAAAGCGGGCACCTGGAGCTTGATCTCGGAGGGCACTGGCTCTGCAGGGAGCATGGGAGGTGAAGGGAGCCAGCCCTTCTGGGCCAGGAGGCTCAGTGTGTGGACTGAGACTACAGTGGAAAAGGGGACCCATGTGTGGGACAACAGTGCTCAGGAACTCAGGTACAGTGGCACACACTGGAAGGGACAGGGGCGGAAGGAAGGGAGGGAGGGAGGGAGGGAGGGAAGGGAACAAAAAGAAGGTTCAAGGTCTCACTCAGGTCTGTGTGGAGGAAAGAGCTGACACCCCTGGCCAGGAGCAGGGGCCCCTCCAAATGGGTAGCTGGCAGCTTGCAGTGGAAGAGTTTGAAGCCTCAGCCAGGGATGGTGGTGCACACCTGTAATCCCAGCACTCGGGAGGCTGAGGCAGGAGGATCGTTTTGAGTTCGAGGCCAGCCTGGGCTACAAAGCGAGCTCAAGGCCAGCCTGAACTGCATAGCGAGACCCTGTCTCAAAAAAGACCAAAAAAAGAAAAAGAAAGTTTGAAGCCTTGAATGCCCCTAGCTGGGGGGCAGCTCCCAGGAGCCTGCACAGAGGTGGCACTGAGCACTTTGGTGGAGAAACCCAGGGTGCCAGGGCTGCAGAGGAAGACAGGAGCACGGGGCTCCCCGGGGCTGGAGTGGCTGTCACTCCCCGCCACCCAGGGTGGCGTGAGGATGGAGGCGGGGTCCTGACTGGTGCCGTCTACGGAGCAGGCCCGCAGGTGGACCGCTTAGGCCGTAGCAGGCTCCAGGTTGGAGAAGACATGCTCAAAGTTGCCTCTCACACAGCCTCTCTGAGCCTGGGCCGGCTGGGTGAGGAACATAGCAGCATGCAACTCAGCGTCTCCTCTCACCAGCCCCATAAAGTGGGGAAAAACCAAAAAAAAAAAAAAAAAAGAGTAAAAAAAAAGAAAAGAAACGGACCTCAAACGTCAGGCTAGAGAGCAG